ACGCTCCCTCCTACCCCACTAAAAAGTGAGCCGGCTGCAATGCAAGGCAGTGCGTTTCGACGAGATGGCGCTAGTGCACGTTTGCCGGCCGGCACAGATTGCAATTGACTTTTCCACTTGCCGCCTGTGCGGCTGCGACATTGCCATTGAGTTCTCCAACTCTGGCATCGGGTGGCTATGCAGGAGCAGTGCCGCAGATCATACAGTTTGATACTTCTCTTGGGCGGTTGCTTAGGCGCACTGACGGGAGTTGGAGGTTTCGACGATTTGGAGAATTTGATAGAACACCGACAGGAAGGATGCCAACAGCGGCATATCTTCTAAGCATGGGATGCCGGCAGGAAGGATGCCAACAGCAGTATATCTTCTAAACATGGGATGCCTGAAGGAAGGATGCCAACAGCGGCACCTACTTTGCACATTTCAGCCGTTTCATGAAGAACTGAATAAAATTCTCAAAGTGTATGGCCAGCTATAGACAGTTGGAAGATTTATCCTGATCTCCCGTTCTGCTGACAACTGTAACATTTTATCATCACTTCCTGTTCCGGTGACTCTGGTCATCAAGACAAATAGAGGGGTTACATTTCCCCAGCAGGCCAGTTTTAAGAACCTATTATGGGCTCCTCATCTCTCCTTACTTTATCCAAAATTAAACCCAAGTTTCGTTTATACAAACACTTTATTTCCCGCATTCCTCGAATCTAAAATAAATGCCCGAAATGCAAACCAAGCTGACAGCTTAAATATAAAAAAAGACAAATAAAGTAACAAAAAAACCTGATTTTATAAAATGCCCCGAGGTGTGAAAAGCTGGAAGCGGCTGAATCCCCTGCATGCCGCAAACAATGAGAGAGCTTGAAAAACAACGGGGTTATGTGTGTGGGTTTTCCAGCTACCTCTAAAATGATGATAATTACAGCACGCTCTGCCTATAGCCACGCACGGCCCCCATTAGGTCAGAATTCATACGAAAGACCCCCTCGCCTCAGCCCCAAGCCGAGCCTCGGCCCGCACCTTCTCCTAATGCGTCTTCACGTCTGGAACTTGACATTTCCTGTGTGGATAATTGTTGTCTTAAACCTTTACAATATTACTTTTTTTAAAGTGAAGTTTATACAAGTTATTTTTGGAGGAAATGCAGAATTTATTACACCCCGCTTGGTTTATTTTATTTTATTTTATTTTTGGTTAAAAGAAAGTAGTTCTGTCAAGATCGCAGCTGTATTCTCAAAGTGAGGTGCTTTTAACCTCCCGGGGACAAAAAAAAGTGATATATTTACCTAAAGTTCACCATGATTTCAAATAAAATGCTTGTTTTTACCTTTCTTTATATCCTTTGTTGTATCTCAATGCTGCTGATCTTCTGCAGCCACTTCCTGCCTACATGTACTTCAGCAATGGCTGAATGGCATTGCCTAGGGTAGGTTTCCTGATGATGATGGTGACGACAGCGGTCAATGCCTATAATGCAGAGGTGGGCAACTCCGGCCCATGGTCCCTGTGTGTGCTGTAAAGTAGTCACCGCTCCAAGCTCGCTTCTGTGATGGACTACAATCTCAATACAAATGAGTAAACTAAACATGAGATTGTAGTCCATCATGGGAGCGAGCTTGGAGCGGTGACTACTTTACAACACACAAAAGGGACCGTGGAGAACAAAGGTAGCCACCCTCCAGAAGGAAGGACAGTGTCAGCACCAATTCAGAGATGATTTGGGGATCTACAGCCGAGTGATACACAAATAAGATAAATTTTTTATTTATAAGGATCCTTATAAATACATTTTAGGATTAAAAAAAAATACATTTTTAGGATTTAAAAGAGAACTATGGGGTAAGTGTTTTTCCCCATAGTTCTCTTTAGGGTCACGGGAGAACATATATTAACGTCCTCCCATGACCCAAAGCTCAGTATATACGCAGGCTATTGCCCACAATATACTTAGGGCGCAGCAGCCGGGACGGATCCCGACAATGCTATCGAGATCCACCCAGCTGCGTGAGTGACAGCTGGCTCTGCCTGTCTAGAGCTAGAGTCCGCTGTACCCGCCCCCTCCTCGTCCGTTCCTCCAGTCAGCACTGGAGGATCGGAGAGGGGAGGGGGGAATCCCTGCGGAGAGCGGTGACTGACAGCCACCGATCACTGCAGGGAGACGATCGGGATGTGAGCGGATAGGTGCATGTTTCTGCTCACTTCCCGATCAATAGAGTCGACCTGTGACAGCTTCTTTGTTACAGGTCGGCTCTAACTACGAGGATGAGTGGAAATCACTCACCTCATAGTTCTCTTTTAACTCCTGAGTTTAGTGTCACTTTAACTCTCTTTAAATCTCTGGCACATTGAAAAGAACTGTATAAAGTCATGCTCTGTATAACACATGCCCACTGGTGTGCATTGTGTTGGGGTGGTGTGATACATTGTTTCAACGCATCACACTGCTTCGTTTCTTTTTAACTTGATTGAAATATCACAAAATGACAAATCGTTCATTACTATGCTACACAGTTGTGGTGATGTACGGCGCACACGCTGCGTTGAAATGCAGCATCTCCTACTTTTTTCCAACACTGCACATTGGTGGGAACTGAACGAAAAGGGCATAATGCTAATTGTCTATGCATTAGGACCACGTTGGGTGAAGCTGCAGCCCAACGCATATGGTGGGAATGGGCCCTAAAATAAATGTGGATCGCTGTAAAAAAAAAAAAACCTTTTGCATTCCAAAACAGAAAGCCGAGTTATTGCGGAATTAGCTCCAGACCCCGAGAGCCATTAATCATTAATCGTATTCCCAATTTAAGAGCAATGTTTACCAGTGAAGTGACTGAGCTCTTCATACATAATCTGTCCGGTTGGTTTTGCCCAGTGATCTGTTTTGCTGTAGCCCGAGCATTGCATGAAATGAAGTCCATCGTACATCGCTCTCCGGCCAGCCTCACTGGGATACAATGGGGTACTGTACATTTTTGCTGCCAGCGGTGTTAGGAAAGGCCAAGGCTGAGTGTCTATTCCCATGGACTCTGACAAAGGCGAGATTAAACCCGCTCAGATGCTCAGTGAACCTTTAAAACAAAAAGATCCATAAAATATCTGATGATGCAAAATACTCTTCTGAAAACTGCATTGTTGCTATGACCTCAAGGGACAAAACTTCGGATGAACCCCGTTACGACTTTTCTTTATCATTCAGCATTTATAACTGTGTATTTATGAACTCCAGGCAGATAGAAAAGACACAAATGAATACAACTATTTATATGAATACAACTTGGTATTAGTCTCTCGTAGTCACTGTGCAGAAGAGCTCAGACCTGGGCAATGGGAAGCAGCACAGGGAGACAGTCAGGGCAAGGAGCCTGCTGATAGGAAGACATAGCAGAGTGACCAAGAGATGAGCTCATCTTCCTGCACCTTCTCGTTGCACTGTCCAGTCACAGGGGAGGAGGGGACCTGCAAGTGGAAGTAAAACTGCAGCAGAGAAAAAAAATCTAGTTCCCTCTCCTACTAGACAAGGCTGTTCTGTGGAACAGAGCTATGTAAATCTCAGGACTGGATTTGACATATAATGCCTCTTGTATATGTATTTAATTTGTATATTAAGCTGGAGTTCAGCTTGAATTACTTTGCCTATTTTTGCTGAACATCAAAAATGATAAATAAGTAAACTGCACTGCGCCCGGTTGGAATTTTGTCATGTTTAACTAATCTATTGCTCAGGGCCGTGTTTAAGTGTGATGAGACCTCGTAGAAAAACCCGTTAAGGTCCCCCAACCCCTCTTATCTCCATCTCTATATCTCCAGATTCTATATACCTTCATTTTATGTTCTGTGTTAGATGATACTGATAGAGTATAAATCATTGAGTAGCCACACGGCTCCCATCTCCATGTGCTTCTGAGCCCCATAGAAGTCTCATAGTTTGGCATGGCCGTAGTGATGTTCTTGCCCTTGCCTTCAAGGTTTTGTTGATCTTCAGGCCCCATCAGGCCTTTTTAGCTGGATGGCATTGTTCTGTGAGCTTGGCTACAGGGACGTCCATGGTTGTAGATACGGTTTTGAACATTATTCCAGTAACGTGGCTTTGAACATGACTCTAGTAACCAGAAAGGTGGTTTTTGTAATTAGCCATCTAACCACGGACCATGGTTCTTGTAATTTGATTTTGGAAATCTGTCTGTCGAAGTGGTAACATGGCTACAAATGTGGTTCTTGTGGTGATTTGGGTCTTCATAAGCCACCTTCTTTATGAAGATGGTTCTTATGATTTACTCCTTAACATAGGGATTCACATAGACGGTCCGGGTTTTGAATGCTGTCTCCGGGTTTCATGGCAGATTAAACCCGGACAAAAGATGTCAGGCAGACAGGGGCAACCAAAATTAAGATATGGGGCTACTGGCCCCCCGGTGAAAATAGTCGCGGCTGTGATATTTACAAATGAATGGTTGGCACTATTTACATATGAATAAACCGTGACTCATTCTCCCTAAAAAATTTCTGTTGGTAGAGTTGGTAGAGTTTTCGGGTTTCGCTGGAAGAAAAGGTGGAAACCCTACATAACTGGCTCAGAACTTGGTCATGAGAGCTGGGCCCTGACCATATTGGCTTCATTCATAAAATGGTACAAGGAGCAAAATACAGTCTCCACAACCCTCGTGACCAAGCAGAATCCATCATCTACTGGTCTGATTTAGCAATGTGATTTGGATTGGTTGCTTTGCATTATGGCAGCTTGTTTATTGACCTTGACTTTGGACATGGCTCTTGATAATAAAGCTCTGGGCTTGGCTCTGGCCAATGGTTTCCTAATAACACATGGCATGACATGGTCTTATGACCTTAGCCTGCCAAAAAGTTTCCATCCTTAACTCATGCCCCATTCAATATAAATGATCCACCGCTCTATTCAACCACTATCATGTAATGCATGTTTGTTGACTATTCATCTAGACAAGCAGCCAAGGGTCTTTCTTTAATGTGTCTTCTTCTATTTCCAGGCATCGGAAGATTTGGGGGATGACAAAATGTGCACGGAAAATAATCAGTCGGGATCTGGAAATTGGCTGAGATTCATCCGAATGGCTTGCTCCTCCGAGGAACAAAATTTGGCTGTTTGTCATTTGAATGACCAGGTAGGACTTTCACAATATCGTCAACTGACTGTTATATCTGAAAAACCATTACCAAAGATTATTCTATCATCGTCAAGCTGAATATTGAAATGGCCATGAAAACTCTCACATTTTCATGGTGGTTGCCTGTAAACAAACATATTTTGGGGTTAGTCCATTCAGAAACATTGGTGTGTACGAAGTATTGAACAACACTATGATACAAGGTGTTAGAGAAGCCCCCTTTACAGTGAATTTGGAGATCACAAGGCTTAACCCCCATGCAAAAATTATCAGGATGAGCAAAACTTCCTGGGTTCAGTTTGCAAATAGTTGTGCTCAACGTTCAAAGCTCCCAAACTTTGCTATGAACCCCATTACGATGCTGAATCTGTGGCCATTTGTAGAGCTGGTGTGAACCCAGCTCGCCTGAGTTTACCCAAGCCTGCTCAAAACTCTGACCGCCCCCTCCCCCTCCTCCCGGACCCAATGAGTTGCAGTATGTCACAAAGGGGCAGGGAATGCCCGCACCGCAACTGCCCACACTGATTGTGATAGAAAGAGGGGGTGGCAGACAGAGTTTTGAGGGGGGCTTGGAAAACTGGGTTTGCACCAAGCCCAGCCTCATCTCTGCTAATAATGAAGCTATTGTCAAAAACAAAAGGAATGGGAAGCCGGGCACTGCCATGAAGAGTATGTATGTACCAATGCCAGTAAATAAATGTTTTAGTAATAATAATAATAAATATATAGTATCTCTCCCTAGACATACTTGTCAGCTCTCCTTAACTGCTCCAATACACCATCACAATATGGCTGCTGTGAGCCCACCCTTTGATAGTGAGGGGGCTGTGTTAGCCATTCCTTGGCTCTTGTGACTCAGCTCACCGGTGGGAAAGGCTATGCTCTGCATTATAGGTTGTCCATTTTTTTTCTGGTAGCGAACCAACAAAGTTTTTGACCAAAACGTCATGCTTGGCGAACTTTGCTTGGGATTCGATGCAAACCCACGATTGCAAAGATCCCTACTCAAAATAAGCAACAGATGCGGCTGATTGGTTGACGTGGGTTACAGTAAATTCCCTATGATCCATTTTCGCAGGCCCCATCACTCCTCTCTAGACCCACCTTCCACTGCCATTGTTCAGCCGCTAGGAATCTCGGGAGTTTTGATTCATTAGCCTGCGGCGATCAGGTTGTCTGGAAAACCGGTCAGGAAATATCATTTCAGGGCTCAGAGCGGAGCAATTATCCTGCCCTCCAGGCAATGTACTTCATAATACAACAATCGAACGCTTTTTATCCGAAGCTTTTTTTTTTCCCCTCGGGGCGTTAAAGCAGGGCAGCCATTATGGCTGCGGCGAGCTGGAACCGCGTTGACTGTAATTTGTACGGAGGCCGCATATCATTTCACGCTGGTCATCGAAGGGCTCTGACACCGAGAAGGATTTTTTGATCTTTGCTGACCGGGGCCACAGTAAGACCACTCAATCACTTTGATTAAGCCCCAAGTGCTCGTTCAAAGGCGCGCTGACCCAATCACGCTCCTAATTACTGGCCGCACATCCGGATTGGCAGCTTGCCTGCGGTCACGTACACTATAATCAGGAAAAACCTTCGCCGGTCACATAACAAAACCTTTGCACAAGTGATGTGATTTTTTTTTTTTTCCCGTTCAGAAGGAAAAAAACAAATAACTATTTAAGAAGCATGTAGATTGCCAATCACCATCCTACGCCATTAAAGTGTAATGTAGAATGTCAGGAGGCCATTGAAACATTGTTTTCATTGAATTATTATTTTTTTTAATACAATGTTTTTGGCCACTTAAGCCTCTTGCAGAAACATTTGAACAGATAATAAAACTGTGTTGTCGTTTTTATTAAAATATAATAAAACATAAACATAGTAAAAGGAACATTTTAGGTGTTCTAAGGGAAGATATTTTCCTGCGCGCGACGGTCCTGTATACTTGTTCACGACACGTGTTTGCTGAACGCTCGATGCACCAATGAGGCCCCATACACACCAGGGTATTTCCGCGCTGGAACGCCTACATAAGGGCTTGTTCACACCAAATGCGGTACATTCCAGAGCGGTAGCTGCTGGAACGTACCGCAATCCCTCACAAAACTTCCCCCTGCGTTCCGGGGGCGGGAGGGGGCTTGGCGGTGCATTGAATTCAATGCCACTGCTTCCACGCCCCCTCACCCGCAGTGCAATTGGACGCGTGGCAAAACTTTGCCTGCGTTCCGTTCCACTCCAAACGCAAAAAATAGAGCAAGCAGCATTATTTTGCGTTTGCAGTGGAACGGAACGCAGGCAAAGTTTTGCCATGCGTCCAATTGCACTGCGGGCGGGGGGCTCGTGGAAGCAGTGCCATTGAATTCAATGCACCACCATGCCCCCCTCCCACCCCAGAACGCAGGGGGAAGTTTTGTGAGGGATTGCAGTGAGTTCCAGCAGCTACTGCTCTGGTTTGAACAAGCCCTGAACAGTCCCATACATTCCTATGGGGACCGTTCATGCAAGCGATCCGAAATGCCTGTTGCCCAAAATGCTCTGAGCTACCTTTTCCCGCTGATCAGCGTGTTTTTAATTGCGTTTCAGTGCTGACATGTACCTTTTTTCTGCGATTGCCACGCGGATGTCACCCCATTGAAATCAACAGGGCCGTGCGGCAATCGCTGCCTGCTTTGTGGAGGACCACGCAATCCCAGGATGCGCGATCCCGGATCGCAAAGGTCTGCACCGGGCCTGAAACGCGGTCACCCTGGTGTGAATGGGGCCAAAGTCCTGCTGAAATATAAGGTCATCATTCAATGCTTTGGACAGTATGACGATATGTTACATTGTAGCAACTTTAGAATGCAGCTTATAAGTGTAACCACTTCACTGAGAACTTTCTACTTTTTATTTTGCTTAATTTTAATACTTTTTAAATGCTTGTTGTAGGAAGTAGGGAGTGCTGGGACTTGTAGTTCCTGGACAAGCTGTCCCATTGCAGTAGGCTAGGAGGCAGCCTAGTGTGCAGTAAGTGCAAAGGGAGTGCAAAGCAGAATGTGTAACCTGCTGTAACCACAAGCAACATAATTTAATTGCCCACAGTCACATTAGAGATATATTAAAGCTAAAATCCAGGTAAGCGGCAGCTAAATACGCATTTTAACTGCATATCTGGGAAATGTTTTGCCTGCCAAAGGATTTGTACTTCTACCCATCCAGTACTGAGATTTACACAGAGATTTTTCTCTGCTGCACTTGTAATACTTGTCTCTCCCCCAGCCTGTAACTGGCCGATGAGCTTAAACTCTCTGTCGCACTGCTCTCTCCTCCTATGAGCATGTCCCTTTTTAGCACATGAGCACAGTAGAGGCAGCAGTCTTAGGCACATGAACACATGTAGACATTATGTGTGGAAAAAAAGTGTGAGCAGATATATATATAAAGGAAGATTTTTTGTCCCCATGGGTCCAGGAAGACTTGCCCCCTCTCCCACCATGTACAGCAGACCCCACCGCCTTCACATCTCAGACTCCCATACGCCGATAAGTGACTGTTTGTATGTAGATTAAAGAAAACACACAAGGCTGCAATCTTTTTTCCCCTTTCCTGTTATAGAAACAAGGTGTCTGCGGGGAGAGGATGCCTGTGGTGGGAATCACCTGGCCCAGAGACCCCAGTTCTAATTGCAAAACTGAAAACAGCCATTGACCACAACCATGGACTCTGGCTGAATGGAGATTGATGTTGGCTTTTTTTTTTCCCTCTGGAAAGAACAGAAGACAGTTGTAGTGGAAGGTTGACAGTGATGGATAGATAGTGGTTTGTCTCGGCCCTGGAATAAGTTTGCCTTTGTCTGGACTCAGCCGCCGAGGCTCTTATTAGCCAAATAGTCCAGGCAGATTCGAGAAACGCATTTTGCATAAAATAACTAACTTGATATTTAAGAAAATATAGTTCTTGCAGTTAATAGAAAATGATATAATGGCTGTCCCGGTGCCAAGTGGGAAACAAAGCCACTAACAGTAAATTAGAGGGTCCCATACTTCACACTCTTAGAAGCTGGATTTTATGGGCTACAGCCTGTATACTTTATGTGAGTGTCAATTACCCGTCTGTCTGTTTCCATGTGGAGCCCAGTAAAATATGCAAGCGTCATTACATTGCACACATCCCCAAGCAATATTTAAACCGGGCCCTAAAAATTACACTGCATGTGCTTGCTTTTCAAAAATATTTGTTCTTGTGTCGTAATGGGCACTGGACTCAATCTTGTCGGAGTCAGAAGTTGACGTGATCCCCTCAGACAAAGGTGTCTAGGAAATGTCTTAGTCAAACAACGATGCGGGGTCTATGAGTCCTTCCCAATGGGAATGGCCAACCGCTACAAAACTAACAAGGTTTGCATCTAACCTCTTTATTTAACAATGTTGAGGTGCCTATGAGTCCTGCCCAATGGCAATGACCAACCGCTACAAGACTAACAGGGTTAGCATCTAACATCTTCTTTAAACAATGTTGTGTTGTCTATGAGTCCTGCACAATGGTAATGGCCAACCGCTACAAGACTAACAAGGTTAGCATCTAACATCTTCGTTAAACAATGTTGTGGTGTCTATGAGTCCTGCACAATGGTAATGGCCAACCGCTACAAGACTAACAAGGTTTGCATCTATGTTCTTTATTTAACAATGTTGAGGTGTCTATGAGTCCTGCCCAATGGGAATGGCCAACCTCTTCAAGACTAACAAGGTAAGCATCCAATGACTTTGTCAAACAACGTTGTGGTGTCTATGAGTCCTGCATAATGGTAATGGCCAACCGCTTCAAGACTAACAATTGATTAGTCAGATAAGCATCTGCCAGCACCACATGCCTCCACTTGATGAGTTGGTAAAACTGACCTTGCAAGTTTATTGAGCATTTTGAAAAGATGTTTTGCAGAGGGAGGTCTGGTATGGTAGGGAAGGCGGGGTGTGGTATTGAGATGGGCCTCAAAGAGAGTTGGGCTTCAAAGA